TGCATCTACTGGAACCGAGCCACATAGCTTGTATTCCACTATTTGCATTCACACCTGGGCTGTGTATATATATTGCCTTGGTTTGGCTCTGTAATCATTAGTGGTCGTTGGACTAGTTTGGGCCCTACGTAAGCTGGTCGAACGTTTTGTTTGGGTCTATACCCTAGCTGCACTAATGAGGCCTGGAAGGCCGGAACGGATCCGTCTGCAGATATTGGGATTCCTTCCCATTCCAGTGGATGCTTAGTTTATTTTGTCATTCTGATCGGATTTTCTCTATTGTTCCATTTTAATTTTAAATATATATATATATTCCCCATGCATTAACTATAGTAATGCTTTCCCACAGTCCACCACTTGCTCATTCATTGTTCACCCTTATCACTGTTTATTTGTACATTATCATTAATCCTTTATAGACGTATGCCGACTTGCTTGACTTAATTACCGTATTGTTTCTCAAATTATATATTGCCAAGATACTTTCACAATATGTTCATTTTATGTCAAACGTTGACAAAGACTACAGGAGTAGCAGAAATATTTGCCTAATAAATTTTAGTGTTTCTAAAGTCAACATCTTACGTATTTGAGTTTCTTTACTGTTACATTATATTATATTCTACATATGTTTTGAAACACACATGGACACGCCTTCTTCATATATATATATATATATATATATATATATATATATATATTCGGTGTGAACATTAACAATCCCTAAGAAAGTCCAAAGACGTGTGGGGTCACGTGGTGCACATCGAGAGACACTCTTCTACTACTCTACACCGAAATCTCTGACAGCTTATTTGCTTCCATGTATAGCCTATAATCAACAACTTAATTTATTTTTAAAAAAATAGTATTTTAATTGAAATTTTGAGGTGGTTTCCAGATTTGCCACAGACTGAGTAGGCCTGTATATCTTTGAGACATTCGTATAAGAATAAACAATTAATCTTTGGAGTATGTCCAATGTTTTAAAGAAGAACTTAGTGAAACATCATGGGATGAAGTGAGTATACTCCAAAACGTAAACCAAGCTTATTCAAAATTTGAAACCAAATTAAAAGTTTTATATAATAAACACTTTCCAAAGAAAATTCAAACTAACAAAAACATGGTTGACTGATGGTCTATTACAATCCATTAAATATAAACAAAAATTGTATGCAACATATTTACGTAATCCAACCGAACGAAACAAAATTAAGTACAGTGAATTTCGTAACACTTTAAATTCCCTATTAAAACGTGTTAAAATTGATTATTATTTAAACAAATTTCAGTGTAAGCTCGATATCAAAAGGACATGGCGTATAATTAATACATTGATGAAAAGGTCTTCGAACACAAACACTGATGTAATAATAGATGATAACGGTGAACCTATGAAAGATTCAACTGAAATCGCAAATGCGTTTAATAAGTTTTTTGTTGAAATAGGCCTAACCCTTTCTAATAAGATGCCGACAAACCGACCCGAATTTAATAAATATTTACCTTAAACTACCCTGAATTCATTGTTTATGCTTCCAGTATCGGACACTGAAATTATAGACATTGTTAATGGCTTTAAAACTAATAAAGCACAGGGACTTGACGAATTTAGCCCAAAAGTTATAAAACAATCAATTTATTTTTTAGTTAAACCTCTTTGCCATATATTTAATTTATCTTTAAAAAACGGGGTTTTCCCAGATCAATTGAAATTAGCGAGAGTCTCCCCTACTTTCAAAATGGGTAGGAAGGATTCATTGTCCAATTACCGACCAATATCTGTTCTTACTGTATTCTCCAAAATATTAGAACGTATTATTTACAATAGAACGTATGCTTTTATTTTTAAAAACGATATTATTTTTGATAAGCAATTTGGGTTTCGTAAAAACTTTGACATATCTATGGCATTAATTGACTTGTCCAACGAAATCGTTGATGCTTTTGAAAACAATATGTTTGCAATAGGTTTATTTATTGATTTATCAAAAGCGTTCGATACTATTAACCATTCAATCCTAATCTCTAAACTGTATCACTATGGTATCCGTGGAGTTCCTCACGATCTTTTTAGAAGTTATTTGACTAACCGCTACCAATGCACAACGTATGGTGGCTCACAATCTGATAATATTACTTGACTATTAGTTATGGTGCCCCTCAGGGCTCTCTCTTGGGCCCCCTTTTGTTTATTTTATATATAAATGATATTCATAATTCTTCAGCATTATTATCCTTCTTTTTATATGCGGATGATACGATTATATTTTGTAGAAATAAAAATTTAGAATCATTCTTTCGTATAGTGAATGCAAGCTTGGCAGAATTATCCGAATGGTTTCTGGCAAATTGCCTCACTATAAATTTAAAGAAGTGCAACTATGTATTGTTTAGGAGTACCCAAAAGCCAATTGAACTAGGTCAGCTGCAGATCAAACTCAATGATTATGTTTTTCCTTTGGTTGATCACTCTAAATTCCTTGGAGTATCCATTGATAGTCGTCTATCATGGAAACCCCACATATCTGAAATTGAATTGCAAAAAATATTGGTGTAATATATAGATTGGCATCATTTCTTCACAATAATATCCTCCGCACTCTCTATTGTTCCCTTGTTCTTCCATACTTGTCATACTGCAATATTGTATGGTGTAACACATTTCCATCTAATCTAAATAAACTTCAAACACTCCAAAACAAAATCATACGAATAATCTCTGGCGTCCCACCAAGAACTAGTATTGATCCCTTATTTCATTCTCTGAAACTATTAAAACTTAAAGATCTTAATACACTTCAACAGTGTTCTTTTGTATATAAAAGCTTAAACTCCATTCTTCCATCTCATTTACGTTCTATATTTGCACCCAATAACGAATTACATGACTATAGTACCATAATCTCAAATAAACTCCACATTCCCAAACACAAAAAAACTTCATTTCAACATAATATTGGATACACTGGACCTAAAATATGGAATTCGCTCCCTCTAAACATTTCTGATGCACCATCCAAAAAAATCTTCATCTCTAAAGTGAAAAATTATTTAATCAATAATAATATTGATTAAATAATTTTCCATATGTTGATTGATATTTTACTATTTAACAGTAGCTTTAGTTTTTTCCCTTATAATTCCTATTATGTATGTTTTTTCATAATAATTTTTCATTTATATTTTGAAATGCTCTAATATCATTATTATTATTATCCTTTTAAATGTTTGTCTTTTTTTCTCGTTAATGTGTTGTTAATTGTCTTGGGCACATCCATCACAAGCTCTGCTTTTCGGAATGGTGCCCCCTTCAACACTTATGTTATTTATTTGTTACATTTCAATGAATATTGTAATTTACGTTTTGAAGGAAATAAATGTTAATTTTGATTTGATTTGATTTGATTTGATGTCTCTGAATCCGTGTCAGTTACTTGATTAATTCGTATTGGTAACGTATATACGTCATTATTGGGACCAACGGCATACCTAGACTGAGTAGGCAACTTTCTCTTATCCTTCGGTTTGTTCGGCTTGGCATATAGCCCTTCAATCAGGTCTGACTTGGTAGTTTCTGTATTATTAAATTCAGGCTCAGCATAAAGGTCGTCAACAGATCGAGTGGATAGCCTTCTTTCCCTGCTTCTTTGTCGTGGTTCTCTTTCGGAAATGTTTTCCAATGAATATTTTTCTTTGAGGCTTAAGGCTTGAATTTGTTTGATGTCGGGTACAGCGGATTCTAAGACATCATTTTCGGAACTTTTAGTTATCGACATGGGCTTTGGATGTTCTGGTTGAGGCTCACTATTATACCAGTCTCGATTACTTTCAACCTGGTTCAACGATACATCGTGATTGGCATATGCTGCCGTCAATCTGCTCTGTTTTTCGTAATTCCTCTCAATTTTCGTTTTGATACAAACTGCAAGTAGGCCTAGTAAAATAAGTAGGCCTACTACAGATCCGCTTACTATGTAAATGATCAAGTCGTTAGTTGCTGCATTCTGACTGGTGAAAGAAAGGGTGATGCTTTTATTGGCACTTAATCCAGATGGTATACTGACTTTGCATTTTATTTCAGCATCTAAGTGTTCAGTTTGAAGTTCTAAAATCTCTAAAATCGTTCCATTTCCAATAATATTGAACATTGATTGAGATGACGTCACGTGCTCATTGTTGAAGAACCAGTTATATTCTGTAATACGTGGAATCCCCTCACCTGAACAGGTAATGTTTAATGAGTCTCCAACGTCATATGACATTTTAGTTATGATTATACTTACATTCGGTTTGATGCTTAAAGGCACAACAGAGCAAGATTGGTTTCCAACTACAGATTTTCCATCAGCTTTGCATTTAAATTCAACTCCATTGTCCTCATTTGACAACGAGATTGACAATATGTTTAGGTAAGTATTACTGCTGTTTTGTGACACGAAGTCTATGGTTTCTTTAATTTTGATATTGTTTTCGAACCAATTTAATGATGGTCTTGGTACACCACCGATTGCGGTGCAGAAGATATTCACAGTTTCTCCTACATGTATACTGTCAATATTGTCAATTGTACATTTTGGATAATCTGTATCGAGAGGTGTAATGACTGTAAGAGTTGCATAACGAGTATAAATACTAGGCCTACTACTAACACTAAAATCTCCTCGGCAAACGTAGTTTGTCTGATCATCAGCCTTTGTCACATTTAAGACTGTCAAATTACTCGCCGTTCTCATGCCGTTAACAAATATAACGTACCTTTTGTCATTTACCTTATATGCTGTGTTATCTTGTATCCTAAACCACACCCATGTTAATGCAGATGTAGATTGGACTTCGAAGGAGGCATTCTCTCCTTCGAATACAGTTAGGTCTTTAGGCTGGATTTCAATACGATTGACGCTTAATATAGGCCTACAACTAATATTAACCAGAATGACTACCAATAATTTCTGCATTCTTTTCATACTGGACGACTATACAACAACCCAAACGCTAAGTAAGTATGATAATAAATGCCGGTGTCTGGAAATAATCCAATATCGACTAAACCCTATAGTACTTCCTCATTTTCGGTATTCAAATGTGTCTTGTTTTACAAGGAAATACTCTAATGATATTCATATAAGCTTATTTTCACTTTCACATTTAACCCAACAGAGTGGAAGGACCTACAACATGAAATCAATTCAAATCAAATATACTTTTATTTTCCATAGGCAATAAAGTAATACAATATACAATAAGAATGCAGAAAATTGAAACAAATATATTGTATGGAAGGAATTCTGCAAGAAAACCCACAGAGCTTTAAGACGTAGCCACCATTTACAAAAAAAAAATATTGGAAAAATGACCGGTACGGTACCATTTACTTATATTTCATTTAAACTGATAGAATCACAGAAATGATATACCAATAAAATTATAATACAGTAATTCTAATTCAGCTTTATATAAGTTTTTAGAAAATAAAAGACCAGACACATTATACTCAAATAAGAAATGGCAGGAAGAGGGATAAGGTTAATTAATTGCCATGCACAGAGGCCAAAGACTTCTTCAGGTGCTATTTATAACTATTCAATGTGAATTTATTTTCAGGTCATCAGAAATATTAGCCCATAATTTCGGACTCAAATTAGAACTGAAAAACGCCTGATACTAGATGCGCATGAAGTACGAGAAGTATAATTGTTGCTAGAAAATCTTGTATTATATTGATGATGTTCAGACGCTCTTGTATAAAGATAACTGATGTCGGGTAGTATAGTGTTATGCGATAAGCGATACATAAAAGCAGCAGTTTGTATTTTAATCGTATACATTTAAAATATTAAAGTGTTAAAAAGAAAAAGGTGTTTGGTATGTGGTCTAAAAGAATCAACTGAGCAAATCCGAAGGGCTCGTTTTTGAAGAAGTAAAATGCAATCGATGTTAGTCGATTCAAAGCTGGACTCGGGAAAGTTTTAAATTTATTGAAAGTAATTCAATTCCCAATGCAATATTGTAATAATAAATATAAGGTAATACTAAAATATTATATAAGGTTAAAAGAATTGTTGATGTAAAATAATGCTTAAACTTGTTTAACATACCAATGTTGCGTGCAATTATATTGGATACCTGGTTGACAAAGGGATGATGAAAGGGTCCTCCATGTATTTTGTGCGTCTTACCAGAATAAAATAAAATAAAATTTATCATTATTTAATAAGGTTTGATGAAATTTTGTGCTTGTGCTGTTTATTATTAATTTAAATGTAACTTCTTTTTTGTAATTTTGTTGATCTTTGACGAGTGCCACTCTAACAAAAGCGTAAGTTCAATAAATTATTATTATAGAAAGTTTGAAACTGTGCATCCTTGAGTTTCTAAGCATTTAACTAAGATTACAGACTTAGGCCCTATTTTAATATTAGGTTATAAAAATTAGTTATGCGTAACATATTTCAAAATGCCTTTCAAAATATATTTTTCTGCTCTTAACATAATATTCATAAGCATAGAGTAACCTCTGTTACATATTGCCTTACCAATGGAGATCTGCTTCCGTATATATAACACGTCTACCGAGGTGGTCACACAACAAGATCAGGGACGTAGGCACGATTTTGAAAGTTGGGGGTGGGGGAGCCGTTATGCGAGGGAAAGTAGCGCGCCCTGAAAGTTAGGGCTGTTCTTAGATAATAAAGTGAAAATTGCAATAAACGCATTATAAATAATATTAGTAAGCCTAACAATAATTATATAAACGCATTATAAATAATATTAGTAAGCCTAACAATAATTATATAAAACTCGACAGTGGTGGATCCAGGAATTCAACAGAGAGGTGACCCAGGGAGGGACCTTTACAGATTGAGGAACCACCCACCTCAGCCCGACGGTTGGGCTGAGGAAGAAAATGTATGATTAGGGCACCTCTAGATGGCCAGAAATTACACTCTCAGATTTAAATTTGGATAGGGGGCCTATATTTTTTCCTTTTTTTCCATTAAACAATTTAGGGGTTAGGGGCCTTCAATCCACCACTCCTCAAAACAGTCTTTATCCAAAATAGTCATAATCACGAAAAATGGGCGTGTAAAAACCAGATCACATCCTAAAAACACATTTATGCACTCCGCCTCATCAGCAGTCACTAAGACATACAGTACCGTACTCTGAATCAGGTGTCAACTCGATGGAGTTTAATGTCATACCCAGGAAGGGCGCAATCTGTTTTGAAAGGTGGAGGTAGGGTGGGGAGGGGGACATTTCGTGAGGAATTTGAGGAAATAGTCCTCTAGATGTCCAGAAAATGACATTTTTTGTAAAATTTATCATCATCACATCACTGTTATATACAATGCTGTAGCCAGGATTTTCAAACAGTGCGGAACAATATCATTGAGAACCCACTTTACGCGCAAATTCAAATAATGTGGACCCATTTTACGCAAAAATATGAAAAATTTGTACCTATTTACTTAAAAGTTGACCAATTTTACGCGAAAATATGAGAAATCTGGACCCATTTTTCGAAAACAGGACTCATTTTGTCATAAAACAGCATAATTTAGACCTATTTTTGAAAATGTAGACTCATTCGTTGTGGACCCAATAGAAACATTGTGTGGGACTCTCCAACTGTCCAATAGCTGGCTACGGCATTGATTACATATACTGAACAAATTTCTCATGATCTTTTATCAGCGATTTTCGGCAACCATATCTTATTAATATGTGTCAATGTGTGATGTACCATAGAAAATAAAGCTTATAAACATTATTTTTGAGTATGTACTGTACATACTTCAAAGCCGTGATTTTACAACTACCTCAGCCCCACCATTGTTGGGGCTGAGGTGCGAAAATTTGAGGAAATAGTATCTCTAAATGGCCGCAAATGACACTTTTATATAGTAAAATTCATCATCATCACATCACCATTATATAGTCAAAACGAAGCACCAACAAATTTCGCATAATCTTTTATCAGTGATCTACTTAATATGCAAGACAACTTAGGCCTAACTAGAGCTTACTAAGCTTTAACAATACTATAATAATTGTGGGCCCGCTGGATCCGCCGCTGCCCTGTCTCATTATGTGTGATTGGCTCATATAGAAAGCAATAGGGTTGGAAGGCGTAGCGTAAATATTCTCCATAAACGTGTTATTATTTTGCATAGGCCTAATGCTTTGATCAGCGATCGGCTTTCTCTTTCTTTAAATTTGCCATTTACAGTAGGGTTGGCAAATGATGTAACTTCTGTTAGTTTTCGGGACGATTTCAATTGGGCAGATCTGAGGTTACCATTGTTTAAAGTAAAAAAATGTTTTAGTAAAAAAAATCCCTACATTTGATGCAAAAAAATATATGGGTTACTGGAAGACTAGTTGCTAGGCCTATACACATTTAATTGGCGAGAAAAATGTCGTTATAATTTTCATCTGAAAGCTAAAGGCATTGAAATAAAACAAAACTAAAAGTTTCAAGTTGTCATACCTGAAGTACAAATGTTTTGATAGTATATTATTGAGAATGATTTTTCCTTTGTTTCTGCTTTTTTTTTTATATCATATCAAAAACATCGCATACAGAAAACGTTTCAAACATAGCATTATAAAATTAATATTACATAAGAAATTATAATTAATTAAATATAAATAAAAAAACTATGAGAAAATTCATTCCAAAAAAAAAGAAAAATTCACATTCTATAATGACAAGTAAATTATAATAAATGTCAATGCTCATAATAGGCTTATTAATCCTTTTTTTTTTACCAACAATTTATTTTCATCTCTTAAGTTACAGTATGCCACAATACTGCAATAACGTATTTTAATCGATACGTCACCCACGTACATCTACCATATATTTATCCCCATCTCTATGATTCAAAACAATTCTCATAATAAACCAGGTATTTTGTAAAATATATATATATATATAATATATACATACGATGAATTTGTATATTATATATATACAAATATATATATTGTATATATACATTTATATACGATGAATTTGTATATATATATATAACGTTAGAGAAGAGGAACCTGCGAGAGTGAAAAAATAGGTGCGATT